AGTTCTCCATTAATCATGGTTGGAATTTACCACCTCCACCCGGAAAATGCTGAGGGAAAACTACAAAAAAAAAAAAAAACAACAGAAAAGCCGAGCAAAAAAGTGGAAATTTCTCCGTGTATCTTGGAGTTGTTTTCCTCACTGTGTGTGTCCCTGCCAAGCATTTATAAAAAGGAAATGGGGGAAATCTACAACCATGTGTGTGTGTGTGAATAAAAAAATTAATAATAAAAAGAGACAGCAAGGAAAAGCAGAAAGCATTACAAACACACACACTCGCACACACATGGATGACAGGTCCACATATAAATTCCGTACTCTCCTTTTTTTACATTCCGCTTTTTTTTGTATGGAAAACTGTGTACCTTTCATTTAAGTTGACATGAAAATCGATATTTAAAAAAAAGGATAAAATTGCTGAAAATAAAAAAAAGGAGCTGGAAGCTCAGAAAACATAAAAAACGTCAAGTAAAAAATTACAGCTTAAAAAGTAGGAGAGAAACATGGGGCGAAAAATAAGAAAGAAAAATAAATGGGAAAAGACAGAAACTGAAAATAATAATAAAGAGCAGGGGCGGAGGGGGGGAAAACTGCAAAAAAAACTGAGGGGGTTGGGGGGAAACGAAATGAAACGAGAAACGGTCGTTATGTTTTTTTTCTTCTTTTTTTTTTTTGTACCCTGCCTTTCTTTATTTTCCCTTCGTTCTGCCAGCTTTTTGTGTTTTTATTTATTTATTTTTTCTTCTCTCCAACGTCGCAGTCGCTGTAATGTCTTTTTTCATTTTTATTTTTCCGCTCGCAACCTTTTTGCGTCACCCCCTTTTCGACCCCCCAAACCCCTCCCATGCCCCGGCACTGCTTACAAGCAGTGGAGAAGTAAAAAATAAAATAAAATAAAAAAGATGCAGCAAAAAACACACAAAACGAAATCCAAAGAAGAAGAAAAATGTGATAAAAACTGAAAAATATTTTCCATGAGAAAATCCAAAAGAAAAAGGGGCCCTGCATGTGTGTGTGTGTGTGTGTGTGCGACTGCTTGGCGGGAAAAATATACTACAATAAAACATGTATTTTTTATGCCAACCCAACCCACACACCCACCCCATTTTCCTGTGTCTGTGTTGGTTGTAGCTTTTTTTTATTTTAAGGAACTTAAATGTGTAACGCTTCTATCGTGTGGGTGTGAGGGGGTGGGGGGGGGGGTGTTGGGTAGTGGGTGGGGCAAGAGATTGGGATCAAAAACCCTTTGCAGTTAACTCTTCTCCATGTGTGTGTGTGTGTGAGAGAGGGGGGTTTCTATTATTGTGAGTGAGCCAAGTCAGAAAACCGAAACAGAAACCGAACTCAAATCCCAATCCTTGAGTGCCGGACATTGCGTTTTTTAATGCCACTATTTTGTACAGTAAAGCCTCTTTAAGTTGAATCTGGTAAAGAATAAAGTAAACCCAAAAAAAAAGAATCTTTTTCTAACAATATATATAAGGTTATTAAGTTCAAACCCATAAACCTACATATATCATTAGGATTTTTTAATCACCAATGTATTTTACATTCAAAAGTGAAAATAAATATAAATATATATTATAAACCATAAACTTACATATATCACTAGGATTTTTTAACCACCAATGTATTTTACATCCAAAAGTGAAAATAAATATAAATACATATTATAAATCATAAACTTACATATATTATTAGGATTTCTTAATATCCAATGTATTTCACATCAAAAAGTGAAAATAAATATAAATATTTGAGAAAACTCCATGTGTTTCCATTATATAAAAGAATTTCGTACATGAACATAAGATTTGCACATATGTATTCTAAGTTATGTGTTCCTTTTTCTTCCTTTCGATCAAATAAACCTCGACTGTATTCTATATATCAATCATAATGCGCATACAAAAAAAAACCCCGTACATATGGCATTCTTTTATATACTAGCTAAAGAAGTCCTTTCTTCTTGGGGCTTTTTTCTACCCATTTCTACCCTTTCTTTTTTTTTTGCGCAATTTATTCGTCAGCTTTCTGGTGCTGATGTTTTTTGCAGTTTGCAGTGTTCTGTTTTTCAACTTTCCTTTGGCATTTCTTGCAGCTGAAAAAGGTGAAGCGAAATTTGCTTTCGCATTCTGTACGCGAGCTTCTTTCTTCAGAAGCGTTTTTCAACAGCTCCTCTACTTCTTCTTCTTCTTCTTCTCGGGCGAATTTTGACCCATGCCGGGAGTTTCTTTACTTTCAAAATAAGTTTGTGTGAGTGCGGGTCCCTTTTTCCCTAAATGTGTGTGTGTGTGTGTGTGTGTGTGGTCCATCTTGTACACTGGACATAAAACGCAGCTAACATAAAGTTCTTATCCCCCCAACCATTATATCCTACCCTTTTTTTTCACTTGCCTTTCCCTTGTGCTATTAGTACTAAAAGCAAGAATGCGTTTCACAAAAAAAAAAAAAACAAAGTTTAAGAGACAAAAAATCCAAAAATTTGTTGGCACATATAAAAAAGGGGTAACAAAATTGTTGGGGGAATTCTTAAAATTTATTACCGTACCAGGAAAAGGGGTACAAAAAGGGTGGGGGGAATGTACCCAGTATATGACCATATCTCTATCATCCTCCTATGTATATGTATACATTTATAAACCCCTCAAGTATATAAACCTTTTGGCTAGCAACACAAAATCAGATGGTCTTGTAGAGATATTATATTAAAATTATAATACAATGTTTTGATTTTGAAAAATCATATTATCAAACATATTATTTTCCTTATACTTGAAAAATAAGAAATCTTTGTGTCCTGAATTTTTTGTTTGTTCCAAAAAATATATTATATAGTATAAATACTGTGATTAGGTTTTAAAAAATCAGGAAAACAAGTTTTCTTATTTTTAACCATAAATGTTATAATTAATATTATTTACCCTATACTACAAAAATAAGAAATCTTTGTTTCCTGATTTTTCTGTTTGTTACAAAAAATCTATTATATACATATATATAATTATTTTCCTTATCTATTATATATACTTAAATACATATTATTATTATTTACCTCAAATCCTTAACTTATATCCACAATATATAAAGGCGATAAGGTATCTTTGAGCTTTTTCTGAAAATTTTTACACATTGAAAATGAATTAATTAATTTAATAAATTGCTCGCCTTAATAAACGATATGCCAGATTGAGATTGTTCCAAAAAATCTATTGTATACATATATATAATTATTTTACTTATCTATTATATATACTTAAATATATATTATAATTATTTACCTCAAATCTTTACCTTATATCCACAATATATAAAATGGATACGGGAATTTTGAGCTGTACATCATGTTTCTGAAAATTTTTACACATTGAAAATGAATTAATTAATTTAATAAATTGCTCGCCTTAACAAACGATATGCCAGATTGAGTTACTATGGATGTAGCTCTATCTTTACCACGAAAATCAATTTATTTCCCTCTTTCGTCACGTCGATTCTGTTTTACAATTGCGATGAATCTGTGGAAATCGACAACAAAAGGGATTTTATAATTGCTCTTTTCATTTTTTCCATACTTTGGGTTTAAGTATATTGACATATTGGTTGGTGTGTGGGAGTTGGGCGGTTAAATTGTGTTTTTATTAAGCGTCAACTCATTTTGTACATGTACACCAAACACCCCATATATATATATTTATATTTATATATTACATAAATGCATATACATATATAGAAGGAAAAGCGACAAAAACAAAATAAAGTTTTACCTTGCGCATAATATTTGCGCTGCATAAAAGTGTGCACAACGAGAAAAAAAAAAAAATGGAAACAAAAAGAAAATTATGAAAATTTTTTATGTGTATAAGGAAGAGTGAGAGAGAGAAGAAGAATAATAATAAAATGAAAACGAGGACGAACATTTTTATGTTGCTGCAGTCTGAGGGAAAAAACTACCATACCGCCCGATTTTTTTTCACCCCACCCACCGAAGTCATTGGCGCTTCTTTGTTGCCAGGGAAATGGAGCTGGAAAAAACATCTCGCCATTCGATGACTGGCAGGACTTTGGTTTTTTCCGCCGATCCCAACTTGCTCTCACATAAAGCGGGAATTTCGATTATTTATTTGGCTGAAAAAATTGCGATGAATTTAATTCGAAAAATACCTTCAAAAAAAAAAAGAGGGCCAACAAGAAGTTCTCCGCATGCCGAAGCTTTGCGCAAAAAAAAAAAAAAAACGACAACAAACCCTTTCATTAAACAGTAAAAAGTTGCATGTCCTCCGATTGACATTTACACACCGACGCACTGCGAAAGGATTCATAGGGATAACAAGTTTAACGATGGAAATAATGCTCTCGGCATGAAAAAACCAATAAATGATTCAATACATGTTCAGATGGGCGGAAAAATGTTACATATTAAGAAAAGTCAATTTTACGCCGGTGGAATCTGTTTTGTTTTTGTTATTAATCTGGGAAATTTAATGAAAAAATTTATTTTATCATTAATTACAAATATGGTTGGCCAGGCAAAATGTCCTTTGAGTGGGATTCTTTGTGGGTATAATGATTTACAATTTGAGGAATTCTTGTAAAGGTTGGAAATAGCATTGAAACATGCTTAAAGGTATGCTATGATAAATATATCATGGTATTTTGGTATTTATTTTATGATTTTTGGTATTTTAAGTATTTTGTTGCATAGTTTTAGACACCTTTATAAATGCTTTTTGGTTTCTTATGCTAAAATAAATAAATCATGGTAATTTTGTATTTATTTTATGCATTTTTGGATCTGAAATATATTGTAGCATAGCTTTAGACACCTTTATAAATGTTTTTTGATTTTCTATACCATAATAAATAGATCATTGTAATACCGAATAAATTTTATACATTTTTAGATTTGAAATAAGCTGTAGCATAATTTTGGACACCTTTGTAAATGATTTCTTGAGTTCTTAAAGATATTTTCATTAGCTCCCTCATCTCTTTTTCAGGCAGTCAATTGCCCAAGGAGAGGACCTCCAGTAGGATTACCAGAACCACCAGAGACACCACCATCAGGGGCAGCAGCAGGCGCGGCACCACCATGCTGCCGCAGCAGTACTGCCTGAGGTGGAAGTACCACCATAGCAATCTGCAGACCATGTTCTCCCAGCTCCTGGATCGCGGATGCTTCTGCGACGTGACCTTGGCCTGCGAGGGCCAGCTCATCCGCGCCCACCGAGTCGTCCTGTGCGCCTGCAGCACCTTCTTCGACGCCGTGCTCTCCAACTATGCCAGCGAACGTGATCCGATCATCATTATGAAGGATGTGACTTTTGCGGAGGTCAAGTGCCTCATCGAGTTCATGTACAAGGGCGAAATCAATGTGGAGCATGTGAGTATAAGTCATTATTTACTACATTTTTATACCATTCTTTCAAGGCGTTCAAAAAATATCATTTATGCTGAAGGATTTAAATATATAGCTTAATTTATGATATATTGATCCTAAGTTTTCAGAGATTTGAAACAAAGAAATATTATTTATGCTGAAAGATTTAAAATTATAGCTTAAATTTGATATATTGATCCCAAGTTTTCAGAGATTTTAATCAATTTACACGGGGACCTAAAAGTAGACTATGCATAATTGAATATCCCTCTACACTGTAGAGTCTACAGCTTAAAATAAATCCTAGTATACTTTTAGGCACCTTTATAAATGACTTCAAATCTCTTCAGAATTTTATGTCACCTATGATAATAGAGATTTCTAATCCCCAAAAATAAACCTTGATTTCTTATATTTATAGGCCAGCCTCCCCTCACTGTTGAAGACCGCTGACGACCTGAAGATCAAGGGCCTGGCTGAGGTGACCTGGCGCGATGACGAGGACGGACCGCCACCTCCGATGGCCGCCGCGGAATTCCACTCGCCGCCACGCAGCCTGGCAGAGAGCTACGCCCAGGACCTAATCCTCCAGCACCAGCAGCAGCAGCAGCCCCAAGCTGGCCCACCCTTGCATCTGCACAGCTCTGTGATTTTGGACAGAGAACGCGAACGGGATCGCGATCGGGAACATCTGTCGCCGGGCATGGAGAGCGTTCTGGGTCGTATGCCCGTGATGACGCCGCTGCCGGGTGCCTCGGGTTCAGCCGGAGTGGGTGCGATATCCGGGGCCACATCCCTCGAGGGCGTCGCACCCGTTGAGCACTTCCTGGGTCCCAAACGCAAGCGGGGTCGTCCACCACTAGACGACTCTTACGATGTGTTCAATGTGTATGTTGTCTTTTAAAATCTTTTATAACTAGATTATATCATATTGGAATGCCACACATATCACTAGAGTTATGAAATCACTTTTAAAAGACAGTTTAGGTGTCTAAAAGTATGCAACAATATATTTTAAACTCAAAAGTGCAATAAATTTATTCAGAAAGACGACCATAACTGCATACTTTTAGACACCTAATCTGACATTTAAAAGTGATTTGTGTAAAATCCCAAATATAGTTCTAGTTTCTAAACGTGCTGAGAAGTATGCAGTGAAAAATAAAAGTTGTCTTTATATTAGACATCCTGCTTGAAAATATATTGTTGCATACTTTTAGAAACCCTTTAAAATGTTTTTGAAAACGCTGTATGTTTAAAGAGTATGTACAATATTTTTAGTTTTTATTAGACTTGAAAGCTTAAAAACCTCTTAAATTAAGGATTAATTGTAAGTGTTTGTTCCTAATGTCTCCCTTTAATTTTCTTTTCCCCCGAACAGACGCAAGCTGGCCCAGTATGCCGCCAACCTGGAGCCCGCCCAGCGTGCCTACTTGGAGACGGCCCGTCACTTTGCGGAGGAGCCGCCGCTGGCCGCCCATGCCGCCTCGATGGCCTCCCCGCCCGCCGCCTGCCCGCCCAAACAGCGCCAGCGTCTGCGTCACCAGCAGCAACAGCAGCAGCAGCAGCTCCTCCAGTCGGAGGCCAGTGACCAGGAGCCATCGGTTGCCGCTGGCCAGGATTGGTCCAATTCAGAGCCAAATGGCAGTCGCACACCCAAGATTCCCAGCGATGGCGAGGCCAACAAACAGGAAACGGAAGTCGGCGATGAATCGCAACCGGAAGTGCTGTCGACCAGCAGCAGCAGCGGCAGCGGGGGCAGTGCCTCCAAAAAGCTTGAGAAGATCAGCGAGCGTCGCGAACGTCATGGCAAACTGCGTCATGCCCGTCGGCTGTATGAGAAGTCTGGAGAGGATGAGGTTGAGCCGCCAAAGGAGGAACCCGATGAGCTGCCGCAACCGCTGGAGGAGATCGAGAACGAGCATCTGGTGGCGAATAGGGCGGAGTCGCCACGTCCTACGGCCGTGAATCCGGCCAGTTTTGCCTGCAAATACGAGGGGGGCGTGGCAGCGGGAGGAGGAGGATCCGGATCCGCCACTGGTGGATCCTCCTATTTGATCAACGAACATGGCATGCTGATGGCCCATGAATTTGGGCCGAATGCAGCCAGTGTGGCTGCCACCGCTGCCGTTGCAGCAGCTGCCGCCGCCGCCGCCGTGGCAAATGCCTCAGCCGGAAACGGAAGCGGAAACGGTGGCCAGGATCCGGGTGGCAGTGGCACCGGTGCCCCCGCCGACTATCCCGACATCAAGCTGGAGGACTACGATGCCGCCGAACTGCGACTGACGAACGAGGAGCTGTCGCAGTGGCAGGACGTCATCAAGATGGACGACTATCTGGCCAAGGGGCGGCGTCCGCAATTCTGGGAGGAACCCTTCACCAAGCGCGTAAGTTTCTCAGAAGTTTTTTGGTGGCTTTAGTTTAATTTCACTCATATTTACACTGATAAACAAATGGAACAGTAAAACTAAATATCTGCTCTTTAAACTCAAAACTTTCTATTAAATATTTGAATGAAATACAAAAACCTAACATATTCTTACAAATATTTAGAACAAAATTAGGAAAAACATCTTGTATCTTGTATTTCCTACCTTGATTTTAATACTTTGAAGTAAATTTTAGGTTTTTGTGTTTCATTCATATTTACTTTAAGTATTTTACGTCACAAAAAAAAAATTACATTTAAAAATATGTTTAAAATCTTAAAACTATCCAAAGTTTATTATTTTAATATTAAAATCCTTCTTTAATTAAACATTTTCAAATTTAAAATAAATAAATGGAGTAAAACAAAGCGAAAAATATTCAAATTGATTATAAAATCATTACACCTACTACTTTATTTTTACCAGTGCAGAACAGCTAGAAATTTTCGCATGGTTATTTTCTCAGAATTTATTTTTCTGCTCATGTATATATTTTTTGGATTTTTCTGGCTATTGTTGGTATTTTTCTTTTATTTTATCGTTCCTTTGTGCCAGCTTATACATTTTTTATAAAGTTCTTTTGACGGTTTTCCGAGTTATTTTCTTACTTTTATTTCTTTTCTGTTAATCTTTTTTTTATAACATTATTAATTGGGAACTTTGTGTATAACAATTTAACAGAAAAATGTTTAACATGGGGACAAGTGGTCTGATGACTTCTAAATATATTTGAAAATGAAATATTACAATTGATGTTGGCAAAACAAATACAGCACTAAAAAAGTAACACATGAAAAGCAGTTAAATATAGTTTCCACCTTTTTTGAACCTTTTTTTGTAATATTTTTTTTGTTCTATTTTTTTCTTTAAAAAAACCTGGCAATCATCTCTGTCTGTTTTGTAGCTTGCACTTTGTAATGCCAAACTACAAATGTAGAAAGCTTCTATGAAAAAAGCAAATTAAACTAATTGTTTAGGGTGTGACAATGCTATTTTATCATAAATTATTTGAAAAACCTTGAAAATGTAATGATTGTAATGGAGGAGAGCTACAAAAGTTCTTAAAATACAAAGGAAATAAATAAAACTAGGGGATTTTAAATATTTCTGTTTCCCTTTTTATTTCTAAGTTTATGAATAATTTAATAAAGATTTTTCTCATTCAATATGTTGGAATATTTCAGGTGCTGGATGCCATTAAAAACAAAAGACTCGAGATGAAGAAGGCCGCCAGAATTCTGGGCGTTTCCTACGGCACTCTATATGGGCGTTACCGCGAGGTCTATGGCTGCTTGAAGCATCCTTACAGGTGCGTTTAAAGCTCTCTGAGATTGCAAGTTCAGATTTTTATTGCCAATTTTATCCTGATTTAGTGGCACCGCCTTCCGTAACTCGGGATCCACCTCGGCCAGCCAGTTGGGAGTTCAGCCTCGCTTCGATTTGGGATTCCGCAATGGGGGAGTCCTGCCAGCTCAGCTGGGTAAGTTAGACATATATCTCGGGGCCTAAGGCCATACCAACTCACTGGGGAATTAAGTCCAAACCAATCCCTATTTGCAGAGCTGGGCAAGCTGAAGAAGGATCTGAGCGACCTATGGACACGTCCGCAGATTTGAGGACCAACCAATGCCACAACTATGAAGAAACTACAGAAAAATCTCAAACGACGCCACAGGCTGATCTAGGATCACAAGGATAAAAGACAGCTAGACGAGGCTAGTTTTAGATCCCGAAGAATACTTTCCTGAATCGATTCCCACATTAATATGTTGTACCCCTCGGTTGGGGTCACAACTATAACTGATCTTCTACACATTTAGGATCTTATTATTACATAATACTATATATAATATAAATACATGTCTATACATACATTTAAAGCCGACGCACGCGTGGATTAGTTAATTGAAATACATATTATAAATACACACGGGCACGTGTTGTTTTAGAGATAAATACATTTCTCTTGGTAGTGAAATTAAAAACAAACAAATAAACTATGGAATCTAGTTAATCAATAACATACAACAAAAGTGAAGTGAATTTTTTGATAAGCTTACGAAAACGAACACAAACAATATGTATTACATACAAAAAATATGTTTAAAACGAAATAAAATATTATCTATGAAAAAAAATGTGTAAAACGAAATAATGGAATATCTAGCCAAGGGTTTTTAAATTTAAATTGTGGCGGTAAGTGAGGTGGTATCGATAACAGCTTGATTACCATAATGGAAATGTATAGCCAAGGGTTTTTAAGTTTAAATTGTTGCGGTAAGTGAGGTGATATCGATAACAGCTTGATTACCATTTTTAATCGGAAGTAAAACTGCCTATTTATTTGGATTTATTTGTAATAGAATTTGTTATGATAAATTATGAGACAGATTTTAGTTTATCAAATTAATATTTACATAACGGGCGTGCCATTATCTTAGAACTTTGTATTAAAGTAAAAGCCAATCGATAGCCAAGAGAATACCCTCTCTGTTCATAAAAAAAACATGAAAACCAATATAATAAATGAAGTTTAAATATAAAAGTAACATTTTCTTGTAGGGTAGATATTCTTTATACATTTTTATTATACATTTTTATTGTTTAAACATTTATAAATTATAGTGTATCGATAGCTATCGAAACTGAAGATGAATATCCCTATTGATATACGATTACTTGCTCTTTTCGCGAGCACGTTTTTGCCGATTTCGGGAGAGGAAATTTTTTGTTTAGTTTATATTTCGCAAAGTAATTACAAAAATGATGCTAAAAACAGTAGATATAAATGGGGAACTCTGTGTGTTCACTTGCTTTAATGAGGAAGGCGAAGCTCTAACTTTTTACCTCCACAAACCGGAAAAGAATTTAAGTTTCGCAGAGACTTTATTCAAGGAGGAGTTCCAGGAACGCCTAAAGGTGAGTTTTTGGTGTTTAAAGTAGATGCTTATATGTATTTGTGGTTTAAAACATTGATATCTTCCTATACAGATGGTTAATCCGCGCGTAAAGTTCCCCGAGGATGCAGCGCGTCTGGCTTTGCTTACCGCAGATCCCTTGAAAGTGGACGCCACTGGAGGACCGATGACTTGCATGTTCTTGAAATATTTCATGCCCAATACTGCAGTTCCACTTAAATGGCATTGGAACTTGAGTCCGCTGAATGGTTTTTCGGTAAGGAACTGATTTATGGCCAGTCAATCCAGTAGTTCATATTGATAACTTTTGCTATTCCCATAGTTTTATCGAAAGATCTGCATGAACTCAATGGCCACGGCCGGAGGACTACGGGATCAGATCTCCGTTTTGATAGAGATTCTAAGAGCCAAGGACAAGGAGCTCCAACAGTATCGCAATGATGGACACAAGTTGTGGAGAGGTATGTTTCTGGTTCCAATTTACTGACTAGTAGATTTCGTTTGGTTTTGAAATGTGAGCTACATTCCATTTCCCTTTTTCATTTTGGAAGTGTTCCAAAGTAAAGTTATATTGTAGACCAGTGGTCGGCACACACATACCATCACAAGTTTGCCTTGCATTAGTGTGAGTGTAACAAACACGAAGTTTGCGCGCGGCGTGCTGTAGCGAGACGTTTCTCTGCTTTGCACTGAGATCCTCTGCCGCAGCAACAAAAAAGCGCGCCGAAGTTGAAAAAAAATGACCCGAAGACCCATGCCGAAGTCACACGAACATGTACGTTATACGTGAGCGAGCAGAGGATGGGCAGAACACTTCCCTATGCTCACTAGATAGGCCGCTGCCGACCACTGTTGTAGACCATCAAGGGTTTAACTTTCTTTTCAGAATAGGTTTATAAATCTACTTATAAACATTGTACATATCCCGTAAAATAAATAGGTAAAGATATGGGATATGTACAATGTGATATCCGCTTAGTAAGAATTGTTCTTGTAATCTATTGACACTTTTGTATTAATGCCATGTTAGTTTTTAATTTAATATGCTTTAAGGCATCCTACGTATTAATAATATTTCCTACTATAACTATTCTATATTCCTTTAATGTCATGTTATTTTTTAATTCATTATGCCTTAAGGCATCCTACGTATTTATAATATTTCCCACTATAACTAGATAAGATTATTAATAGTATATTCTATATTCTACTATCTCCTTTAGTGACTGCGGTTACAAAGCCATTTGATATCGAGGCTTTTAAGGCAGAGCACCAAAACTTGCTGGACAATGCTACTGCTTACCAGCAAGTGAAGGACGCATTTGCAGGTGAACCTCCCTCGTGCAGTTCATCTGAGTTTTCATCACCCGTGTCGCAGGATGTAAAGCACAAGACTCCGTCTACTGACTCTACAATTTCGGCGGAATCAATGAGCCCAAAATTGACTCCACGCTCTAAGTTTCCTTTATACTATGGAGCTATATCCCCAAATGTATTGGATGCACCAAACGAAAAATTGTCTCCACGCAATAGGTTCGCTTTATAAAGACTACATCTTTTTAAAATACTGAGATATATTTAAATATTTTTAGGAAGCGCAAAGCTCTTGAAGCCAATACAAATCATTTGGAGCGCAAGGTAATGGAGCGCCGTTTTAATCCGCAACTCGAGTACAAAAGCTCCCAGAGTTCCCAAGATTCTGACATGGATGAATGGTTTACAGAGAATGAGCCAAAAATTAAAAGGGAAACCATAAAAGATGCTGAAGAGCCGTCAACATCGGCTGTGATTACTAAATCTTCCTTGGCAAAACTTACCAAAGTTAATGCAACAGTAGGAAAAGCTGAAATTAAAACTGAAAATGAAGGCGCCATCGAAACATCTGATACTGCTGATGAGGACGAGCCTTTAACACCACGTTTGAACTCTGAAACTCTAGAGTTAATTTTACGGCACATTGAAGCTGTTCCAGAAGTATATGATTATTCAAAACGGTCCATTCAAGAGCGCAAAGTCATTGATTCTCAAGTTCAAGAAATATTTGGAGATCAAAAACAAGTTATTGACGAAAACGAAGGCCTTGATTCTCCGACAGAAAACGAGGACACCGAAGAGGAAAAAGGGTCACCGAAACAACTCACCGAGCTGGAGGAGCTAAAAGCCATCCTACTTCGCACAACAGCTCTCACCAAAAACATGATTGAGAAGCACGGAGTCAACAAAAAAGAAGAGTAAGGGAATAGTCCCACTCTAAATGGTGTACCGCCAAAAGTTTAAGCTCTAGTCCATAGGTTTTTTTTTTCATGGTTGATAAAATCAGACAATACAAATCCCCAGTGATAAAAGGATGAACTGCGATATAAAATAATTTATATAATATATAGAGAATTCTTGATGAACAAGAATACGTACCGTTGGTACTTGAAAAGTTAGATCTTGTCTTGTGGATCTTAATGTGAACGATTACAAAAGGACCATTTCATTTGTTACCTAACTATATTTTAATCTCACACCAAAGATATCTACTTGTACCTGGTTAATGGCGAAAATCCCTACTTACTTATCAACCGATTAGTCACGGTTTCATATGGGAGCGCCACAATGAAATTCATGGTTATTTTTTTTTTACATTGTATTTTACTTTGTTCACATGTTTTATACCAATGACTAATAAATTCTATTGAAAAACGGAAATTTTAATGCGATTGCTAAATGTTTAAATAACTTGGAAAACAAAGGTTTAAAAGAAAAAACACAATTCTAGTTGGAATATTTATTTACACAAAATATATTTAAAGAAAATGTAGTAAATAATGTGGCAAAAGTTAACACGCTGTTTTGGCCGTAAAATTCCATACACTTTTAAGGTGCAAACATTATTTTTATTTTAACTTGCGGACGAAAAAACGGCTAGTTATGAGGTTGAAGTAGTTGCTATGGGGCTTGGTGATTCCAAACCCATTCGCGTCTAGTGCCATCGAAATCAAAAATGAATTTTGCTCTGATTTGGCATTTGTTTACTTTTATGGCACCCGATCGACCTATCGAGCCGTTGTCGATGTGCTGCTTTGGGGCTTTGGCAACATTCAATTTACGCACATTTAGCGATAAGATAAGCCATAGGCAGCCACAAATAATATCAACTGGCCATGGGTCTGATGGCTCATTGCGGTGGCTCGATTCAAGAAATTCGGTCGATAATAGTAACGGCCAAAGATTTAAAAAGCCAATATTCGAGGCCCTACCTTACATATAATTCGTTTTTTCCATAACGCTGAAGAAATGGCTAAAATCTGGGTGGCCATATCGCTATTCCTAGGCGTTCTGGCATCCGGCGAAAGTGAGTCATCATCTTGCCAATACTTAAGTTTTATTAAAAATTGACAGAACCATTAAACTGTTTGGTAATATTTTATAAATGTGAAGAAGTGAACTCAAAATCTGTAAAAGATGTGTAAAGCCCAGTTCTTCTAAGACAAGTTATCTCTCAAGTTACTTTTTTTTCTTTTTCTTTTTGTTTTGGTTATTCTTTTCTAACAAAAGTCTTTGGTTATTACCCAAGATAAGAAAACATGGTGTTAATTACAGTTTCCAAGTTTATCGGAAAAAAAACCAATTATTGTGATTAATGTGAACTATTTTAAAATGTTTCTATAAAAAACCAACCCATTTTCAAACTTCTTTGTGTGTTCAACAAAAGATGTTGGGAAAAAATATCACTTTAATATTCACAAAATTATCATATTAAACCCTTCCTTTGTTATCTTTTGATTATTATTTTAATTTTATCAAAGGAAGTAAGAAAAAGTATATAAAATATTACCATGACTAAACTGCTTTTGCCTATAATTGCCAAACTTTTTTGATGACTAATGTAGACTTTAGCAGGGCATAACAATTATCCAACTAATTTTCCAAGGAGTGGCTATCACAACACATTCGATTAGATTGCTTTGTTTTTTCATTCCTTTAAAGAGCTATAAACCGCTCACCCCATAATTCTGAAGTACTTTCTTGTTAAGACAACAATCCCAGCTATCTTATTGCCACCGATAAACAACAATTGTATGTATTTATATATGTATTTGATATAGTTAGTTGTCAAGGAGGTGTATCAGATGTCACTGAATGGCCATGTCCATGACCGATATTTAACCATATCATATGTACCTATAGATATGTTACTTATAAAACTATATTGCAGATCTTGGAGCTGGAAGCATAGAGCCCAAGATTGTGGGCGGTAGTGCGACAAGTATAGAACAGGTTCCATACCAGGTGTCCGTTCGTCTAACTGCCAACGATAGGAAGAGCTATGGTTCCGGTCATTTATGCGGCGGAGTGGTGATTTCCCAGCGTTTGGTGGCCACCGCCGCCCATTGTTGTTACATGTGGGTAAGAGCCTTACTCTGTTTAAAACATATTGTAATAATTTCCAATTTTTTAGGAGTGATAAAAAGAAATATCGAACTGCTGGTGAGTTCGTCATAGTCATGGGCAGTACCTATTTGAGGAGCTACACCAATCTCACATTGGAGTACTACCTGCAGGAGTTAATCCCCCATGAGAACTACAATTCCGACTCGTTGGTCAACGATATCGCACTGATGTTCATCAATGGATATATTCCCTGGAACTGGCCAACAGTGAAGGCCCTGGCCCTAAACAGCCAACTAGTGGCCACGAGCACCGATTGTCTGATCTCAGGATGGGGTCTTCTCCAGGAGGTGAGTTCTAATAACCAACTACATTTTGAAAAAAAACCTGTGATATGATATCTATCTATCTTTCTAAATCACTTTTTTAAGATGTAATTACTCCTAATACTGAATTTAAGTGGTTATATTTAGGTATATTTTTTATAATAACTAAATAAAATTAAAGTAAGAAAATCAAACTGTAAGTTATAGGTATAATATGGCTTTTAATAATAATATAATATAATAATAATTTAAAGAAACATTTAACCCATTAACCAAGCCTACCAGTTCAATCAGAATAAAAAATGCATGCTTTAAGATATAGGTATAATAGGGCTTTTAATAATAACATAATAATATATAGTTCTGAGTCTAAAATACAAATCTAGTAAATTACTTTCCATTCATTTAGTTGATTTATTTGTAAGATTATTCCCCTGACATCTATTTAATAAAATCTCTATATTTTTTCAGGGCGGTACTGCGAGCAGTAATACCCTGCAGTCTGCCACGGTTCCCATAGTCGCCTACGCCACCTGCCGCATTTCCTACGGCTCCATTCCGCTTTCCCAGGTGTGTGCAGGATATTGGACTGGGGGAGTGGACGCCTGCCAGGGCGATTCCGGAGGACCTATGAGTTGTAACGGAAAACTGGCCGGCATCGTCTCTTACGGCGCTGGATGCGCGGCAGCTGGTTATCCGGGTGTCTACACCAATGTATCGTACTATAATAGTTGGATCGTCCAGAAGAACAGCTCCCTAAACTATACGCTATATCATAATGGAGGAATTCGGCTGGGTTCGGGTTGGTCCTTCCTCGGGACATGTATTTCACTGATCCTGGCCTTCGCCTTAGATCTCAGAATCTAAACGATACTTTAGATCGCTTAGCTAATTATTAAATAAATGTTATCTTTTTTCAAAATGGAGTGTTTACTTGGATTCGACTCCGGTTTGGAATCTTACAATATTGCTTTCCATTAAGCGGGCATAGAGAATAGCTCTGCCGACACATAAACACATCGATAAGCTGCCCCGTGCAAATTAAATTAGCACTTTCATTTTAAATTATTTTAAATATCATTATTAAATTATATTTACCAAGAAACCAAGAGATATTGTTTCCAGTGAATGTTAAATATGATAATAACCTCTTATCTTCATATGATACTTATATGATATGATGATTATCATGATATGAAGAAATCATTTTAAATTCTGATTAATTTGATCGCTAAGACACTGATTCAAACATCAGTTTTTTTTAATTTGATTTTTTTTTCGTAATTGTTGTTGAGTTTGTTTTATTGGGATAGGAAATATAGACGGTTGTGGGATTTCGTCGCATCCCATGGACCACCAATGGATGTGCCAGCTGATGTTGCTGATTTTAGCGGCCGATCCCAAACCTAGCCACGCCCTGATTCTACAGCCGATGTCCACAGCCTCGTCCTTTGTGATCCTGCCGAAGATTGTGGGCGGCTATACGGTGACCATTGACCAAGTGCCCTTTCAGGTGTCCGTTCGACGACGTCCTGTCCACCAGCGGCGCTTCGGAATGGGTCATGTGTGCGGCGGAGCGGTCATCTCCCAGCGGGTCGTCTGCTCAGCGGCCCACTGTTACGCCATGTGGGTGAAAATACAGGATACAACGTTAACAACATCAAAAGTTTTTAAAATACCCTCTTTAGAAATAACTCAGTACCGCTGCACTATCGTGATCCAGAGCAATTTGTGGTCGTGGCCGGCAGCAGTGCCATCGATCGGGCGGACCGCTTCACCCAGGAGTACCTCGTGCAGCGGATCGTCGGCCACGAGCGGTACAACATGACCACGCTGGAGAACGACATCGCCCTGCTCTTCCTCAATGGATTCATTCCGTGGCAATCGCAAGCGATTCGGCCGATACCGCTGGCCAAGGAAGCACCCGAAGAGGGCACCATCTGTCTCATACATGGCTGGGGCAAGGTCACTAAGGTGAGTTTGAGGTTGGGAATGGGACTCAACCCATTATAGTCTTTTTTGTCCGCTCAAGAGAGCGTCTGTTTAACTATGTATACTTTATCGAATGCATAATCCTATGTGTCCGCATAAGAGAGCGTCCGTTAAGCAATGTTTGTTACTAAGTCTTAGGCACGTGTTACCTTGGTCTTATTTAAAAAGGGTGTGTCCGCATAAGAGAGCGTCCGTAAAACGTTTGTATTACCAAGTTTAAGGTTCGAGTTAGACCGGTTATTTTTTTAAAAAGGTTTGTCCGCAGAATAGAGCGTCCGTAAAACGATTTTTATTGGTAAGGCATGTGCGAACCAAGTCTTAACTAAAAAAGGTTTGTCCGCATAAGAGAGCGTGCTTTGCAATTTAAACCTTTTTCAACTAAAGTGTTCCAATTTAATGTTATTTTTCCCGCAGAAGGACAAATCGGCCACGTTGCAACAGGCCCCTGTACCGATACTGAACAAGGAGCTCTGCCAGGTGATCTACAAGCTACCCGCCTCGCAGATGTGTGCCGGATTCCTGCAGGGCGGTATCGATGCCTGCCAGGGGGACTCCGGCGGACCGCTGATCTGCGACGGACATTTGGCCGGAATAATATCGTGGGGCGTTGGCTGTGCGGATCCAGGCTACCCGGGTGTTTACACCAATGTCTCACACTTCTTAAAATGGATTCGGAAAGCCAACGCTTCGCTGGATTACTCCGAATATCGCCAAATGACGCCGCAGAGTCTGGCTAGCCGTCGAGCTATATCATCTCTGTTCTTGGATATTGTCCTTCTGGGACTCATCATTAGCCTTCTTTGACGATCGGACAGCCCAATAAATCGCTTTCTCTTGTCTGTTCTACAACTGATTTATCTAATCGTGTGAAGGAGGCACCCACTTGTAGATTGTCCAATAGTTGACGTTGATCGACGGCATTGATGACATCAGAGGAGGAGGGGCTTATTAAGGGGTACAAAGAGTTTCTTGGTACAGGGTACATTTGTGCCGTTTAAAATTGTGGAAAGAATACCATTAAATAAAAGCATTCAAAATAAATAATAATAATTTTGCATTTCGCAAAAGGAAATTGAATCTTGAAACTTCTCAGATATTAAGAAAGTAATGTACCATGTATTTTTATTTAGAGTTTTAAAAGACAATTTCTATTTTGTCCTTCTTCAAAACCGTCAGTTATAAGCCGCGAAATTGCTTAATCAATTGGACAAGCCCCTTTTTTTATTTCGTTTCTTGGTTTTATGGTAATGTAAATATACCCTTATTGGAACAAGATATAAAGCTTTTACTATTTGTTTACTAAAATATGAAATTAACCTAGATTAAAAATCTGTGTGGATGAGTAACTTTTGGTTGAAACCCAGCAAACGTAGTTTTAGATTTTTTATATTATATTTTATATTGTTTATTTGGTATCTGGCAAGACCAGAAATGGGACTGAATAATCAATTTTGTTTGCACATAACGAGTGGGTGTGAAATTTTAATTGAAATCGGACAATGGGCAATAATTTCGCAATGGAGATCGATGATACATATATGGCCTCTAAATTTCTACGAAATTATACTGATCAGAAATCGGGCTATTAACCTCAAAACAAAAAAGATACCATATTTATTGTTTAAATGTATAAAAAATGTAAGTAAGAGGTAAAATTCGTAGAAAAATAATTTACAGTTTAGTAATACGCCAGGAAAACCCAAAGATCTTTCAGAGATACGTAGATCAAAATAACTTAGTTCTGGACACACTTTCCAGGAAATCCCCTGGTTGTTCCCCCAATTTCAAGGGCCCCATAAATTGGTGTGGTAAAACCAGAGATTGCCCACTTGGAAAATCCAGCAGTGGCACTTAAAACTTAAGGCTGCAGTTCGTCAAACCCGGACGCAGGTCTTCGGGTCTCCGGCGATGACAAGTCGGTCCGGTGTTATTTGTGGTGTTCTATGATATTATACGATGTGTATTGATTAGATTAGGATGCCAGCCCGATGCCAGATTTTTATTTTGGCCGCGATATTGGACAAGTGGGTTCGGCTCCATCATTAGTTGGTATCGCCACGTCGAGGAGTTAGCATCTAGATGGGCAGAATGATCGGATTGGTGAAATATTTGGCGGTAGCTCTTCTATTCACTTCCTTGCCGGCGGGACTGAGAGGTTTGTGGGGGATTTCTGCAGTTTCTGGATTGTTTTTTGTACTACTACAAACCCAATCTTCCTTTAGGCGCCGTTCCACAGGCAGCCTTGGATTCACAGGCAATCCGGCCGAGATTCAGTGTGGACCCTGGTAGGATTATCAATGGAACGGAGGCCACTCTGGGAGCCACCAGGCACCAGGTGGGAATTCGGAAGGCCCTCAACGATGGCTACTTCTTCGGAACAGGACACCTCTGCGGAGGATCGCTCATCCGACCAGGATGGGTACTCACTGCCGCCCATTGTTTTGTAGAGTAAGTTTGGCTAGAGGCCAATAGGTTTGAGGGGTATTACGAAAAGTATCAGGAAGTATTGCTTTGCTGTTACCGATAAGTTGAGTAATCTCAAGGAACATCAAATTAATTTAAAATGTTTGATACCACCTTATCGATTCCAAGAAAAGGCATAACAATCATTAATTAAAATGTTTTTGAAAAATATTTGGTAGCTCAGGGACATCTGAATCCAAAAAAAACGTATCCCCTTATAAAAAATGCGAAAATTTGTCAAAACGTGTCAAAACAGTCGGTATTTTAGCTGTACGCCTTGATTTGGCTAAACTACGACTGAAAAACCACTAAAAAATGAGAATTTTTGACCAAAATCTGAATCCCAAAAAAAAATGATGTACCCCCTTACAAAAGATGCGAAAATGGGTCAAAAAATAAATGTTGCTCAAAGTGATAGGGAACGATAGCTTTTGTAGCAAGCTGCTCAAAACAGTCGGTCTTTTAGCTGTACGCCTTGATTTGGCTAAACTACGACTGAAAAACCACTCAAAAAGTAGTATTTTTGACCAAAATCTGAATCTCAAAAAAACCTGAGTACCCCCTTATAAAAAATGCGAAAATGGGTCAAAAAATAAATCTTTCTCAAAGTGATAGGGATCGGTAGCATTTGTAGTAAGCTGCTCAAAACAGTCGGTCTTTTAGCTGTACCCCTTGATTTGGCTAAACTACGACTGAAAAACCACTAAAAAATGAGAATTTTTGACCAAAATCGGAATCTAAAAAGAAACTGATGTACCCCCTTATAAAAAATGCAAAATTGGGACAAAAAATAAATGTTCCTCAAAGTGATAGGGATCGATAGCATTTGTAGTAAGCTGCTCAAAACAGTCGGTCTTAGCTGTACGCCTTGATTTGGCTAAACTACGACTGAAAAACCACTAAAAAATGTGTATTTTTGACCAAAATCTGAATCCCAAAGTTATTATATTATAAATAAGCCAGTTATGGGTTTTTGGGATACTTTTCAGTAAACCCTCACAAACTTATAAATAAGGAATTGACTAAAATGATTGAATTCAATTTCTAATTCTTATAATTTTATACTAGTCAGGTTATATATGACGGAACCTTTGTGCCCAAGGATGAGTTCATCGTGGTGATGGGCAATCTGGATCGCTACAACCGAACCAACACGCTGACCTTTACACTCGATGAGCGGATAATGCAGCTGGAAAAGTTCGATCTGTCCACCTACGACAAGGATATCGCCCTGCTGAAGTTAAATGACACCGTTCCCACCGGTCATCCTACTATTCGTCCAATTGCCCTCAATCGGTTTACCGTCGCGGAGGGCGTCGTCTGCCAAGTGACGGGATGGGGCAATACGGAAGATGGCTACATTTCCGATATCCTGATGACCGTCGATGTGCCGATGATCAGTGAGGAGCGTTGCATCAACGACAGCGATCTGGGGCATCTGATCAAGGCTGGAATGATGTGCGCTGGATATCTAGAAGTTGGGGAGAAGGACGCCTGCTCGGGCGATTCCGGTGGACCACTGGTGTGCCAAAGTCAACTGGCCGGCGTGGTTTCCTGGGGCATTCAATGTGCTTTGCCCAGATTTCCGGGAGTCTACACGGACGTGTCGTACTACTACGACTGGATTCTGCTAAATATGGGCGAGGATCCGAATGATGCTGGAAGTGGTGAAGAAAGCGGTGATGGAAGTGGTGAAGGAAGTGGTGATGGAAGTGGCGACGGCAGTGGTGATGGCAGTGGTGATGAAAATATCGATGACGATGACGATAACAATGGAGGTGGTGGTGCCATGGGAGTCATGATCGGAACTCTTAGCCTTCTCCTGCCTGGATTCCTTGCCCTGAGGCTAATGACTAATCAGTCCTAATTACCGTAGAATTACTTCAATAAAATAAGAACTAAAATATTCGACTCTTTTTATTCACTTCGGGTTTATACATACATTAACATAATTGGAATTCTTTTAAGCTTTGGGGAGTGTAATAATTTGTTTGCGGACTAAGACTTACTATCCATTTTTTAAAATAGGACTCTGAAAAATGTCTGATTTTGCATAACATAGAAGGATATTTTCCCACCACAAAATTGATTTAGGAGCTGAAAATAAATAACATAATCGTTAAATAATAAGGTGGTTTTTTAAAAGGATTTATATTTATATTGTAACTTGAACGTATTAAGTGTTTCTTATTTTGTATCATTATAGTACTTAAGGTACATTTCTTTTAATTTTCTTCGCTGGTGTAAAAGCTTCCCTTCGTCGCAGACATTTATGGCCTACTTCTAGGCGGCTTATAAAAGTTCTTAGCCCTAAGTTATTCTTACACCCCATATAATCCGCGATCGTCAGGTTATCGTCGCATTTGTTGTTAGTTAACTAAAAATAGTTCACAGCGCAGAAAACAGACTGGATTTCACTAGTTCGATGAATGGAAGTGACTACCTGATATTGGTAATCTTTATGGTTCCAGACGTTGCGTTACTGAAAGAATGGCGTCCGTGACTGCAGGGCGATCGATAGGAATAAATCCAGTTCCGTTAATCAAACGATCGATCTGATTGTTTAAACGTGCAGACAAGGTCAGGAGTCCAACTGCATTGGGCAATCGAGACAACTTTCTATCTATCAGGGCGACTATGATTCGGAGTGGTTCATCTCAAGGCTGTGTTACAGCACTATTAATCTTCGGTTTTGGGTAATACAAACTATTGCCGGAATGCACACAATCTTTGGGCCATCGATCCTTATCAGCCACACTTCGCGATGTAATCTGCTTTCCATTTTAGTTCGCTTCAAGTTTGTCATATGTATATAGTTCTCGAGAAGGCGTAATATACATTTCCGCTACACTTCAGGAATACGAGAGGTTCTTCAAAATGGCACAAGTCTTATAAATGTTCACATGATAGTTATCATTAACTTTGTATTACATTGAAAACGTAAAAAATTATATATATTTAAGTATTCTAATTAAATATTCTATTTAAATTTAACTTTAATAACTTAAAAATTAGTTTAAGTTCTAAGACCTAAATGATCCTATTTTTTTTTGTGTGCTTCTCATAAAACAGTTTTGATATCAATCCAAAGAATGGACATTCAAAAGCCCCGTGAACGCACCAAATAGGTTTCTTAGAACATATATTTCTTGATAAAAGTTCCACATTATCGGAAGAGTAGGGGCTTCAGGGGTTGGTCAAATTTGACTCTAAAGCCAGCAAGGTGAATGATACGATTCAAGCAATCTTAATCCTGGCTTTAGAACATAAACAAATTGAAAAAAAGTATATGAAAACAAAACAGAAATAATAATCAAAATAATGTTTACTGGCAATGCGTTCTTATCGATCCGGATTGAGCGTGTGTGTTTGTTTATTATTCGCTTCGATTCAGTTCGATTCGGCGATACTGATGTATTGGTGCCTGGGTCGTATGTTATACTATTGCTTTATCAACCGACATCGGCTACAAAAACAATAACAAACGATTCGGAATCAAGACTCACGAAACCAAAACAAAAATTTATGGAATTATCTAAGAACGCTTTTGCGAATTTGCGTTCATTCGACTTAGGAAAGAAGCTCGCGCTATAATTTCTTCATTCATCGCTCGGAGCTCCCGACAGGTGAACCGTAGAACGCTCTCCGTGAAAAACCTAAGATCGCTTCGATCATCGATTATCGGGATCAGCTATTTTTTTTTCATATTTTTCCTTTGTGAATTTTGTGTTCGGTATACGTTTTGCAAAATGCAGCTCAACGATCATTGGCGGAAGATCGTGAAGACCTTGATCTTTGCGTTTCTGTGCACTGAAATGCAAACGAGTAAGTACATTTTAAGATATAGTAGGGAAGATCGAAGTCCAATCACTTAAAAATCACTTAGTAAGCAGGGTGTTTCCCTTGGGGTCTATAAATTTAATGGACAATTTTTTAGATGCTCTAAAACAAATAAACTAATAATAATGCTATAACCGTGCCTGATTTTAAGCTAGTTATCATCAGAATTTGAATATTAGAAAATATTTAGCTATCGAGGACAGTCCAAATTCTATCAAATGGTCAGGGAACTTTTAAAGATGTTATCTTCTGAATTTTAATATTACTAAACATTTAGTAATCGAAGAAAGTCATATTTCTATCAAGTGATATTATGTCAATTTTATACTTGAGTCGGTCAGGAATTTCAATGACACTTGAATAGTTATAACATGACAACAAATTGTTCAAACTTCAAAAGAAATTGCAAGTAAGCAATTGAGGTAATAGAGATACCACAACTATCTTATGGCATTACAAAGTACTTTGATTTGTAACGGAAATAGGTAATAAATTATCTCACATACTTATTAACACGAATGAACCTCAATCTTGAACTTTTCGTTGCTCTGTATGTAAACATTTCAAACATTTATTTGATTGCTCCTCAAGTTCACCTGATAACCAAGACTAATTATACATTTTGAGCAGTTCCGATTTCTAAAATTAGGTTCTAGCTTAGAATTGTTTTTTGTAAATAATTTTTACAATGCTAAATTGGTTTTTTTATAGAAATGAGAGCCATAGCTAATTTCATTAAACCTTGGATTTTGTTAAAACGGAATTTTAAGTGCCGGCGCATTTAACATATCCACTGTACTTTGGCATAATCCCACGATTATCCAAATCGCTGACCGCGTTTAGTGCGTCACTTCAAATTGAGCAATTGGGGATCTATAATCGCGTGATCGTCTCGGGCTTCCGGGGTAGTTGGGGTATAGTGGGTTCAGTTTCGATTCGATTGGGCTTAGTTGGTTCGTGGCCGGGGCTATAGATACCACAGGCCGGCTATCATATCTGCGATCACGCCGGGAACAACAGAGGTGGCCTGATCGGGTCGAATCCGGGACTTGTGCACTGGGTAAATCTATCGGCATATCAGGGAGCGATCGGGGCGCTGACCAGGCGTCAAAGATTGCTGATAGGTGCTGGGTGATAACGTGGACTGCACTCGGAGACCTGTTTCCATGGGGGGATTCCGATCGGATCTGGATTCGTGGCGGGCTTATCAGGCTTTCGGCTCAACCTTCTCCTCGATTCGCTAATTTTGCACGTTCTCCATCCTCGGCAGCTTATACCCATCGTGATTTGGCGGCAAAGCGCGGTATTGGCCTGGCCGAAATGGATGCCATTGCAGCGGCCACTGGAGAGGATCGATTCCGGCCGAAAATGTTGGCCCCACATCAGGCATCCATACGATTGTTGGCCCAGGAGCGGGATTACTTCGGCAAGGGACACATCTGCTCTGGCGCCTTGGTGGCGCCCTCTGTTGTGCTGACCGTCGGTAGCTGCATCTTCAGGTTGGTCAAATGTGGCTTATAATTCCCAACTTGTTTTTCTGAAAGATGTAAATAATGGGATTTAAGGCATTAAAACACAATAGATAATATATAATAATGTCAATTTACTTTTACTACAGTCAGGTGAAGAAGAAGTACTACCATCCATCAGAACTGCGCGTTATGCTCGGCAACCCCCAGAGATTTGCTCCCCATGAGCAGGGTCAGTTCTTCGGAGTGACCCATATCCACCAGCCGCCCAAGGATTTGGCTTTGGCCATTCTGATGCTGGAAAAGGATGTGCCTCTGGATAATCCCCATATCCAACCAATTGGCTTGCCTTCTCCTGGAACCACTTCCGTTCTGGATTCGGAATCTAGTAATCTTCTGCAGATCAGCACTTGGGGCTATGACGCCGATATTCGTGAGCTGCACGATCTGGTGACATTGAATGCCACCCACACATCCTGTCACCAGCAGCAGAGCAAGTCACCAAGGATTTGTGTCCAGCCGGAGGCCACCAACTCCACTCCTGGCCAGCTTTACATGGATGCCGGTGCCACTCTAACGGAACGTGATCGCCTGCTTGGTCTAAGGAGCATCGATGGGGGATTTGAGGACGTGGCCAGCCATGTGGAGTGGGTCTTGGCCAAGACTGGAGATGGTGGCAATCAGAACAGTTCCATTTGGGGCATCCTGGGATTCCTAGTATTCACCGGCTACGTAATCACCATAAGCAGCAAGAGCTTTTCGACCTAAGACGTCTGAAGAGGATCCATGGGGGTTTACGATGTGATCATTTGGGGGAAATTAGCCAAGTAAGATTTCCTAGACTTTACAGAAATGATAAAGCCGAGGAGTGTGATAATCTCTATCTGATGCTTCTTTAAACCAGATTTCATGCTTAATAACTTTAAGCGTGCTATAAAAATCTGGTAGTACATGTATAAGATACATAATATACAATAGAGTCTTCATTCCAAAAGTAATATTACAGTGTTGATTCAACAAAAATAAACAATTCATTGGAATACATAGAATAAACAAAGATATATACAGTAAATATAAATATACATAGCTTACAATATGGTTCAGATTTCAACCAAGTAGGGCCTTCACCAGACTGCATTCCCTTTCCTTACCGCAGAGCAGTAAAATTGGAGTCTCCACCGATTCCAGTTTTTGACCAGATTTTACTAGAGGCCATGCCCATGGCTGCTGATTTTTTTTATAGCCAAATGTGCGTTGCTGCCAACCGCCCACTTGATTATAGCTAAAAAGGTAAAAGTGTTCTTCCTCTGGTTGTGTTATCACCAAAAGATATTGCTGTTCTCCGACTTTGAATGGCGTTAGCTGATGAATGCGCTCGTGGAAACTCAGTTGCTGGATGGGTTCAAAGTGGGTTTCCACATGGCTCACATTCCTTTTAAAGATGGCTATATGCCGGCAGCCCAGGCAGCTGACTAGCAATTGGTTCTCTTGCATCTCAGCCAGATCATAGGAACCCTGGATCAACTGCAGCAACTTGAAGTTGTGATTCGAAGGATCTCTGGCATGAATGGCTAGGACCGGACGATGATTGCTCAAACCGCTGGTAAGAAGTAGATCCTCCTGGAACTCAACTCCCCCTCGAATCACCTTCATTAAACGACCATCTGCCGGCAACACGGATTGCCAATCGGTGAGACTGCAGTTACTCCGCTTTAGCCGCAAGACCCGAACCTCCTTTTCGGTGCCGAGAAGAAGTAAAACCATCTCCTCGACTTCTATTAGTTCCATGGCCTCCACTGGTTGACGCATTCCCAGCGTATGTGATTCATTCCGGCAGCTAATGCTAATCCTGCTGCGTAATCTCCTGGCTGGACGATGACAGTGGTTCTGCACCTTGGCCCGGACATCGCCGGAGTTCATTCGTATCAATTGATTGGACACACTCACATTGGCCAGAAGCACACGGCCTTCGGGAATCAGGAGCTGAGCCCGTAAGCTCCGACGCTGACAGGGAGCCGAATCACCCAGGGAAAGGCTAACCCGGAGCTCTGGGGGTCCCTTCAAAGGCGGTTTCACCCAAGTAGATTCCAGGATTTCGGGGTCATGGTCCAGATAGAGTAGTCTTTTGTGAGAGCTTTGATTACCCTGCTTTAGAAGTTCCTGCAGTTGCTCTAGGGCATTGCTTTGATCTTCCATCGTTCGCATTCGACTGGGACTCTGACTTCCTGCCAAGACAAGACCTCCGGGGAAAAGTGCTTTGTCCAGGACCAGACTATCGATATTGTAGTCGCTGTTCCGGAAGATACTGCCTCTATAGCTCTCGCTAAGCTCACGACCATTTAGATTCATCACATGACCGGGCCCTGTGAACTGCACACCTCCATGGAAGATCTTGGCACCCGTGATGCTTTGCGCTTGATTGCTATGTCGGAACACCAGGTTATCCAGTTGAATGTTATTAATGGAGCGAAGTAGTGGTTGACCTCCCAACTGAAGGTTTTCAAAGCTCAGTGATCCGAATACCTCCAAGGCAGCTCCTCTCAGAGGAATGCGGTGCTGTATGAAGTATTCCATACTCATTTCGTTCACGCTTCCCAGATTGAGATCCTGTTCGACAATCAGTTGCTTGAACTTCACCAATGGCAAGGATTGCCCTTTTCCCTGCTGGTAAATACTCTCAATTGGATAACCATTCACTTCTGGACTCTCCAGTTGAAGTTTACCAATCTTGGGAGCCTGGAGGAAGTGAAGATCCGCTGCAATGGCTTCTCCACTGGACAGGCGGTACAGTGAGGCATTGAGTCGTTCTATATCGATTCCGTTCACCAGCCCGAAGTGTGCATCCTTTTCCAGATGAAGAGTTTTAGCTTTAACTAATCCCAGTAGCTCTTGGGGAGCTACGATCACCTGACTTTCGTTTGTGGGACTCCTGCGAAGTAGGGCATCTTCGGCCAAATGGGTAAAGTTGAGTTCGATGGGCAGAGACTGCTGGCTTTGTAGGTTCTTCAAGTAGGGTGCCTTGAGGAGGACATGTCCTGCAATGCTCTGGTTTCCCACTTTCCTCACAGCATGCTGGCGCAGATAGTCCAGTGTGGATTGGGAGTGATCTTCACCATCCCATAGAGCATCGCCGGTGACCATCAAATTCCTCCAGGGAAGTTGCTGCACTCGCTCCAATCGTTTCCCAAGATCTCTTAGATCTGGTTTATTGGAAAGGGGACACGTAAGGCTCCCATTGATGTTGAGTTTCTTCAGGTACAGATCTCCTTTGAGTTCCAAATCTTTGCGTGTGTCTATAAATTCTTCTTTCGGTACCCCGTTTATTCGAGTCACATCCACATTGGTGGCCATCATTCTGTCAAATGTGTAGACACCACTTATTTGCTGTGGTGTCATTCGCAGCAAGGTGTTATCCAGCAGGGAACTGAGATCCAGATTATTTATGTGAGGTGTATGAAGAGCATCGTTCAGTTGAACATCCGCCGTAAAGGTCTTTTTTCCCCGTAACTCCGCATTGGCATCGGGTCTAATCAGGCGGCTTAGGTAATCCTCCCATTGGATTCCATTAATGTTTTGCAGTTGTAGAGCCTTTTCGAATTGTACATTTCCCTCGATAAGAAGTTGCTTGTGGAGAAGTAGAGGCTGTTCATTTCCCTCCGAGAGCTTGGACAGTAGTTCATCGAAGGGCAATCCATTTAGGCGCCGGAAGTTAAGATTCTCCAGATGTGGGGTTTCCGTCAGTTCCAGGCGTTGAAGGCTAAGATCATGGCCAAGAAGCTGTTGCAGTGGGAACCCATTAAGACGACTGACATTTAAGTGATCCTGAATTCTTAGGTCATTCGTCACCACCAAGCGTTCAAAACTCTTTGTTCCTTTAAAGTTCTGGGCGATGTTTGACTTCAGTACTAGTTCGCTTACTGGTACCCCATTTATTTGATTGGCTTGAAGGCTTTGAACAGTTAGAGGTGCCTGGAACCTTTTGTGACCCGTAATATTTGCCTCCTGTCCATGACGCACTGTATCCTTAGCAATCTCCGCCAAACGGGAGCTGTAATCCCTGCAAATGATATCGCCGTGTATACTGGCATTCAAGAAAATGATGTGAAGAGTGTGATTTGGATAGTTGTGATTGTTTTGATGTCCTCCGCTGAGAAGATGATCTCTCAAAGGATGTCCTTCAATATAGTTGGTGGTGATTGAAGGTGTATTGACTCTAGCTTCTCCAAAGGTCAAGTTTGATAGGTTCTAAGGGGGGGGATTTTAGTGTTATAAAACTAAACCAGAGGAATGTTAAACCGTCCTACCTGTTGCGTCTGATTCAAAAGGTAAGTGGAATGAAGATCATTCCTGGCCAGAGATTGCTTTCCCAGGGCTACAAGTGAGTTTCTGGTATCCCTCTGAACATTTCTGACCGTCAGGGAACCACTGATCGTAACCCTGCCCGTGTAGTACTGTTGAAGACGTTGTTCCCTTAGTTCTTGGAGTTGTCTTGGCTGTTTCTGCCATTGGCTTTGATTGGCCACCTGAATGTCTCCCGAAACACTCATCTGATAGATGCGAACAGGTGCTGAAAATCAAGAGCTCTTTAGACCCATTGATAAACAAACCCAAGAGGAAGAGACTTACTTTTAACCGAGGTATCATTGGAACCGCGATAGAGGACATCGTGGGCAAAGTCAAGGCCATTTACCAGTTGAGCCTCCAAACGCGGAGCAAAAAAGGCAGACATATAGATATTGGAACTGATCACCTGAGCACGTCGCAGGTTAAAAAGGCGATCCACCACCAGTCCGTTGAGCAGTTTCGTTCGAAGATTGTCCACCCGGGTCCTCGATTGCATCACAAGTTTTCCTTCCAACCGAGTATCACGGCTGCGCAGAAAGAGGGAGTCTAAAAAGTCATCCCAGGACACTCCATTGATCTGTTCCACTTTCAGATGACGCACTACACATTCACTACGAGTAGGGGTCTTTGTAATAGCCTGGGGAATACTGGAGTTGTGGAAATCTTGAGGGGTCAACAGTTGCTTCGTTTTCAGTGCTTTGGTCTGCACACGAACGTCCCTGATGGTCAGCAAAGGTGGTACTACAGTATCCAGGATGTGACCTTTTGATCAAGAAGCGGTTGTTGGTAAAAATCATATTTTTTCGATCAAGTTTTTCAACTTACCTGGCATCAACTGTCCCTGGTAGATGAGGTTGCCCACTCGCAATCGTCTCACCTTGAGTTTATCCAGCTCATCATTTTCATTTCCTGTCCCAAAGGAGCGAGTGGTTCTCCTGGTTCGTGATTCCTCAAATCGCTGACGAAGTTCCCCCAGACGCCGCTTCAATTGTGTGGGAGTGCGCAGCTGATCATCCTCTAACTGGAGCCGCTCGATGTGTCCTTTTTCCAGGAGATGCAGTGGTTTCTCTAGCTGAATGCCAGACTCTGGCTTTAAGGAGTTGACCAGGTGATTCAGTGTTTCTAGAGAGGAACGACGGCGCAGAAGGAGTCCACGTAAAGCATTGACGGACTCCTCGAACTCATGACGATGCATTTGGACCACAGTGAGATCTGCAAAGGAGAGAGATTATCAGTTGTTCTATAGGATTACATTCAATTGACCTTCTTCTGGAGCGGCGCCCACTTGATTTGAGATTTCCTCAACGCCTCCCAGCTGCACTGTTCGGATCAGATCGCTGGAGGTTCTTTGATAGGCCAGCAGCAAAAAGCTCTCATTGCGAGGATTTATATGGGTTATTAGACCACTTGGCTCCGATTCTCCAACGACCTGATATCCACTGTAGCAATCCAGGCGGGTTGAGCTGAAAACGATCACCTCGCCATTGGAACGGGCTCCGATCAGGAGCTGACCCTTTTTGTTGGCACTCAATAGATGGAAACTTAAATCCCTGCGAGCATGTTTTCGGTAGACCACAAATTGACCATCCACCATGCGGAAGAAAATACAGGAAGCGGATGTGGAGGAACTACAGGCGATCAGGCAGTTCCGGCCACGAAATCTAGCCGCCTGGACACTTTGGGCCTGGACAGTCAAGGCCTGACGATGTTGCAGGGTTCGTGTGTTCCTATCCAACTCATAGACAGTGAGAACCATCTAATATGGAAAAGTAATGGAAGTAGGGAAAATTATAAAATAAGTCATCATATAGTATTAAAGGGATTACCGTAATTATATAAAATGTATAATGTTATAGTTAAAGAGAGATATTTTGGTTTTACCTTCGATTGCGAGCCCCTTAAAGATCGCCCAAAAATGATATACAGGGGCTGACGACCAACCACTTGGAGAACGCGGATGGCGGGTAGAGTGATCTCCTCGAGGGGATTAAAGTAAGTGTCCAGCCACTCAAATGTTCTGTGAAAAAGTAGTAATCATTATTAAGCAATGAATAAGTAATATGATTCGTTAATGATAATATTTTAAATCTTAAAGCCATTATACAAAATAGTTAATATAGCTTAAGTACGATCTTTGATATAATTATTATATAACGATTATAATATTATTATTACTTCCTAGGTATCCTCACCTGCACTTGCTGTGTGATCTGGTATGATTGGAGGCCACCAGCAGGAGAACCTGTTCGGCACTGGGTTTCAGAAGGTGAAGCTGAAGAAATCCTCCTGGCAGCGAGAACTGCTGCAGGGGCTCGAAACTCGTTTGCTTGGCGGGATCTTCGGAGAGTAGCAAGTCCTTGGGCAGTTGGTATACCTCCAGGGAATCCTCTAGGACGATGGACAGGAGTAGGAACTGTCGCCAGGCCACGATTTCTGCACCGAGAGATTTGCGAACCTTTACCTGACCCGCTAAATTTCCCAGCGGCACCAAGCGTCGCTCGCCGGTGGCCACGTGGAATTGGTAAATCTCGGGTCCATGGAGCAGCAACAGTAAATCCTCTTCCGGTTCGCGGAGCACAAAGAGTGGCAGCTCATGGCGCATTATCATATCGACAAATGGAAGACGGATTTCCGGGCCAGAGGCACTACCATTTAACCCATTGCGACAGGAAGTTGGAAGAAGTTGAGCTGCACTTTGATTTCTAGGTACCTCTTCGGTTGATAAATCAGATCGTACTTGACTTATATAGAACACTAAAACACTAAATAACACTAAACATTGGCCAGGCGAAACCATTTCACAGAGTTTTCACGTGAATTGGTGGATCAAGAGATCCCTGACTATACTAAACTGTTATAATATTTTCATTCAATTCTCATGGCAATTTGATTTTGTTACTCCTCTTCCTTTATTCTTAACTGTTATTCAGACTCTTGTTCTTGAGAGAGCTTTACTATTAAACAGAAAGACGTAGTGACGAATGCACCTTGAATGAGTGAATATGTGTGTACAAAAGTTCTAGTATGTTTTGTAACAAAAAATTAATCTGCAATCGACAAAAAACATACTTTTTACAATTGCAAACTAAACTTTAAGTGTTATCTTTCAATCGGTACTTCTCTTGTAATAATCGGACCATTACATCAAATTTTAAGAGATAACCGTTAATTGGAGGTATGGTAAGCTGTGAATGAAAGAATGACAGAGAAAGATCAGAACTTAAGGCACAGTGGGTGATAGTGCTTATAAAGTACGTAAATGTATGTTATGTATTGGTTTATAATGTTAATCTTATCTCGAGCAAATGTTATTTTTCTGAGTTTTCGGATCAGCCTGAAGCTATGCTACAAAACATAGACATAGTGCTCCCAACCGTATTTTCCCATGTGTCGCATTAGATTTCCCCGATATTCTCGGCACTCGTCAATCAGTCTCTCTTCGTTCTGCTTTCTCCGTCTGCAGTGACACCTTGGACTGGGAATTAAATTTTTCTGTAGGAAGGGGGGAGGCACGAGGATCTAAAAATAATGCAGACAAACTTGGAGACTGCCTTCGACGATTCTGCTGAATCAATCAGCTTCGATCATTAGTCGAGGTCATTAAAGACATTAAACCCCCGCGCCACCGAAGAAAAGAGGAAGAAAGCATTTAACACGGAAGAGGGAATCGCATAAAAATAAGATATATATGTGTATTCAGAGGGGCAGAATATTATTTCCTGGCGTAACGGAACTAAACGAATCACCCATAAATCCGCAGCTTTAACCTAAAAGGTGGCCACATTTGTACTTGCAATTAAAGTGGATTTAATATATCCGTATGAATAGGTGTACGAGAGTGAAATTTAATGCATGTCATTGCCCTCGGGGTCAAGATTTGGGGGCATCTGTTGTAAATATCCGCTGGAATATTTACTTTGCCCAAAACTGATTGATCGCAACATTGACATGACGTATAAACAACATTCCAGCTTTACAAAAGCACAATTGCGGTAAAAATAACAGCACAGCATATGAGAAAAATAACGTGAAATTCGATAAGAGTACAATCTAAAGAAAATTCTTTGAGGTATGATGTCTTTTTAAGGAAATGAAATATTAATTTATTTCAAAGTACTTTTACAAAAGGAAATATTTATTTATTATAATTATTTCTGATTTTTTATCGTAATTTTACAAACTGTGTATATTTGTTTTTGTTAGCTTGGAATCTTTTTAAAAAGTTATTATTCGGGCTATGTCAGATTATTTTATTTTAAGGGTTAGGAATTCGATTTTTTCGAGTGTATTTACTATATTGTTTTAGAAGACATATTTAGGCAAACATTATTTAATATTTGCTTGTTATAATCGAGTTCTTTTTGGGATTATAACATCTGGATTGGGCTTAAACGCGTCGCAGGAGTGCGCGGCTAATGCCAGCTGTTCTGTTGTGGTCATTAGCAGATGTTCCACTGGTTGCGTGTTGCCAATTTGGTTCATTTCGTTTTTTTTTTTGTCCTTTTTTTGTTGACCATTTCGAGCAGTTGCCGTCGCGCTTTTCGTGACTAATTAGCAAATTCGCGACACCCGTTTGGGGAGCATTTTTTTGCGTCTGTCGTTTAGCGTTTGGGGTCATGGGTTAAAACCCCCTTTTTAGCCACCGATTAACGGTTAACAGAAGCAGCTGATTGTCATGCCTGCGGCTCATCAGCGGGCTCATAACGGTGCTTTTGGAGTGGCGGGCTCTGATTTGAGTGCTCCCCCAATGGGCCACTCTCATGCGAGAGAGAGCGAGCGAGAGCACACTTCGCCCGCGAGCCGCCAAACTCCCCAATAAGTGCTCCACTTACGCGTCACTCTCTCTCCTATTCCTTTTCCATTTCCTTTTCTCCACTCGAGAGTGTGTGAGTCACGCACCCAACTAAGAAGAGAGAGCTGCACTGTGGGCCAGGTGGTATATATCTGTGGGTAAAAAATTAAAGGACAAAAAGGATATAAATTCAATTTTTGTACTCTTTAAAAAATCTTCGCATTGGAATAAAAAACTAAAGGACTTATGCTTCAGGTAGGCACAGCAACATGCAGAAATGTTATAAAGTCAAAATTTTAAAACAAAATTCTGTATTTATAAATATGAAACTTATTTATCGGCAGCCTTAGTATTAAAAAAAAAGTGTGCAAATCAAAAGGCAGAAGCATTTTAGATAACTGCTAATGGACATTTTCTCATCCGTATTATTAATTAATTGAATTAAAAGTTGATTTTAAACAAAAAATTTTCTTACGTTTTCTGAGTTTAAGACCTATTTCTAGTTTAACATGCGGATAGGAAAACGGCCAATGAAGTAATATATTACCACAGCTTTTTTAAAAACTATATTTTAAAGGTGTCACACGTTAGAAAATAGTTACTTACCAACTATAGTCCAGCTCTATACATGAATTTTAAAGAGTATAAAGATAGTAATTATAATTGTCTATTTTCCAATTATTTTATATTTTTGTGTATTTAGTTTTTGGTCTTCTTTTGCAGAAATACATATCCTAAACAGAACAGCTTATAACGTGAACTGTTCTAGTTTTTGTAGAACCACACCCATTGTGCGGCGCCCAGAAATTCTTGGAGAGCAGAGCGTGCGCCCTGTCGTCCGCCGGGAGGGGGCAGTGGAAGGGGGTGGCGTGGCGCTCTCGCGGCGAGAGAAAGAGCGAGCGGGACTGGCGGCAAGATCGCTCATTGTGCAATTTCGGGCCGTGTTCCGCGGACGTGCGCGCATCGTTCAGGTTCAGTCGCATCGCAGTCGCCGTCGCAGGCGTTGAGTTTCTGAATATCTGAATATCTGAATTTCCCAATTTCAATCGGAAGGCGAATTTATTTTGAAATTCCCCATCGCTTTCGAACCGTGCACTTATTTTTTTTATTTTTATTAATCTTTTTTTTGCTGTGAAGAAGCCAAATTTGCCATGAGTGTTGAAAAATCGTAGAGATCGCGTTTTCCCCATTTCTTTGGGAAGTGGCAGAGAAGAAAACTCAAAATGAAACTGTGGAAATCGAAGAAGCCCATTGTGGGCTGTGTGCCCGGAAAATCGGCGGCCCTCAAACAGGACCAGCAGCAGCAGCAACAACAACAGCAACAGGATTCCTTCAACGGACACCATCATCCGCCGACGGACACCGCCTTGGCGCCCATGTTATCCGGTAAGTGTTTGGGGGGCTTTTCCATTTTTCCAAGATTTTCCAACATTTTTCCCCCAGCCCATTCACTTCCTATCCCAGCGATAGTCAGCCGAATTGAAAATCTACCAAAGGCGCCCAACATGTGCGCTCCCATTTTCCGCTTTTCCGACTTTCCGCTTTTCCCCGCCCACTCAGGGTTATCGCATTTCCGCCCAAGGTGCTTGCGTACGGCCCTCAAGTGCCCGACTTTAGATATAGATTTGTATACAAATATCCGTCGGCGTATTTGTATCTTTATATCCAAGTATCGGCTAGCTGGGGCACTGCTGAAAATATAGTTTTCTCTTCCTTAAAATAAATAATGCTAATTTTTTTAAGGGTTTCCTGATACAATCCTGCGAATTCTAGCTTAAAAGCACTATATTTTAAGTTGAGCTTTTTATAGATTTGTTCTTTAAGAACTACTAATAATTCTAAATAATATATTTTTAAAAATTATATTTTCATAACAAGTTTTATAATTTCCTTCTATTTTAGAAACCCCATAATTTCTTTTTTATAAGTAATAGTTTTTTGCTCAGTGTACACTTGCGGGCCAAGACAATGTTTGACATTTTCAATTGAAAGTAATTGCTCGCATTTCGTTTCCATTTTCCGATCGCTCGAAATTTGTCAATTGCAACGCCCCTTCTCCAGAAACCCCCCATGGAGCCAATGGAGCTGGTTGACCTGACCCCTGATTTCCCAGCGATCGGTTCATTGGGATCAGTAGGCAGTTTGATGGATTACCCGGCCCTCGAATGGCAATCGAATTGAATTGCCAAATCAGTGGAGTTCAACGGATCGAGCTATATAGATATATATATATATCATGGTTAATTGGAGCTGATCAGATAAGCAGATGATCAGATGCATTTGCCATCAATTGAGACGTAATTGAATGGATTGCGCAATCTGAAAAAGGAATACAGAGAATTTCGGTTATTTCAACTCAAGCCAATAAATCTAGCTACAAGAAAGGAAAGAAAATATATTTCAAACAGAATTTCCCACTAAGCTTCTGTTTCAACTTTGACCTATCAAAAGTGTAGATCTAGATGCGATCCAAAGAAGGTTATACCCCTTTTAAGAGGATCTTAAAGGCCGTTCCGCGAACGCTGTTCTGTTCTGCTCTTTTCTGCCGATCTTTTGCTGATCTTCCATGGATTAATGATCTAAAAGTGCCGCCAGGACGGCTGGGATTTATGTCAGTTAAGGAATAAGAGGGGTAAAATTATGGCCCAACTCCAATTGCAACTGCAGTTGAACTGGACTTTCCAATGAATGAAAAGCAGAGAACAAGATACACCGATACGGAATGGTTAAAGTAGAGAGCCCAAAGAAGATACAAAAAAGTATCTGCATCTGTTCGTGTGCGCGGGCTTAAATTGCATTTGATGAATTTATGGCATGGCAAGCGTAATTAAGCATTTAATTAAATATTTCTGATGTTGTTGTTGTTGTTGCTATTGTTGGGTCTGCCTGCCCCTTTCATTGCTTAATTTTCTTGCGCGGAATGCCACAGATTGTATCTGGTAGATAAGGCCAAGTGCCTAGCCAGAATGCAGCTTCTGCTGGTGGAAAAGTTGGTGGATGTGGCTGCTTACTGGGCCAGACAATCGCCCATTGATGCCAAACGCCTAGAAAGAGATGAACAGCAGTGGTCAATACAATAGCACTCTACTTTTATCGGGAATAATCCTTTGTTCAACAGGGAAATAGATAGTAGTAATTTATGAAAGACAGTTTTCAAAACATTAATATTTAAGATGTTTTTATTTACTAGAAAATCTGTAAATTCGATCTTAAATTAACACAAGCTTCAAATGTCCTAAATTTTATTTGGCTTATATCCTATAGATGTGACTTTTATTAGTAGCCAAAAACCGATAAATCTTAAAGGTGTATCCTTCTGCCTCACATATACGTTAAAGTAATTTTTAAAGCACTTTATGTGTACAAAACATCCAATTTATTTACACAGCCTGATAAGAAAACACATAACATTTGATCTGCTATTGTTTTGACCCCCTCCGTAAAGCACATACAATGCATCTGAGATGCATCTGCAATTGCTGATTGTCTATCCCATCCAAAGGCAAACAGAGGCGTGCACTCATCCATGGATGGGGGATCAAAAAGGGGGGAGGATGACCAGATGTCACTTGTTTACACAGTAATGACAGCTACAACAGCAAAAACAACAACTGAAGCGATTGATTTGACTGCTCTTTTGACTCCCCCGAAATGCAAACAAATGCCTGAGAACAACGAAAGGTGTTCAATGTCAATGCATCCAAATCAGACCCAAAAACTGAAACCAACGAAATCAAACAGATGACAACTCCCCCCAAAACCAAAAAAAAAAAGAAACCCTCAATTCGAAAGCCCCCTCTCTCTGTTGCCCACTTTTATGGCACATTAAAGGCCCATAAAATCAACGACAAAACATTGGAAATCGTAAAAAGAGTTGGAACTACTCGAAATATGTCGGAACGAAATAATAGATCAGCAGATAAAACTATAGGCGTTGACAGGCGATGGGAATATGATCTAAATTTGCAGGGCTTCCTCTTTTTTTTTCTGCTATTTTGATACACTAGAACTGGGAAAAAGGATAGGAGCATTTAAGAAATTTATTAGATAATGTTATACGGATTTATATGAGTTCTTAATTCAAGTATTGTCATATAAAAATTACATTGAGGTCAAAATGGTTCGGTTTTTTTTGTGCTGTCAAATGGGAAAAAGATCACGTTTGACATAGAAAAATAGGTGAACTTATGAGGCGCTTAAATTTATGGAATTTTGATGATTATAATAAAGGCCAGTGACAAAATTTGGAGTAAATCGATAGTAGATAATTCCTTTTATGCTCTATATCTTGTGTTTTGTTTATCATTCAAACATTTTATGTTATTTTCGGTTGCATATGTCGACTTTTTACGAGTTGCATTGAGTACATCGAATAAATGTTTGAAAGACAAGTAAAACACCAAATGGAAATGGGTCGGGCACTATCTATTTGAGTATCGCTTTTGTTGTTCACTTTCCAGTTTTGTTCTCCTTTTTTTATGACCAGTAAATTGAAGTGTTTGAAGTTTACAACTGATTTGAAAGCAATTGTGATTTAACCATTTGTTGAGCGTATGTAAATTTGTTTTTTATGAACGGAGGGGGATTTCATGACAGGGAAAGTCTTGTACATGCATTTTTTTATTCCTTCGCCAGCAATTGTACATGTTTCTAAAATCCAAATACATGGAAAAAATATTAGGAAAATACTTTTTTTAAGACCACACTTTTCTGTTTCTTTTTTATTATAATATGTATCCCAATTTTTGTTGAAGTACTTCTTATTTTGGTGTAATAACATATTTTCCTTTGTGTAGCTTCTGTTTCGCTGCAATTTCTGTATCGTTGGCGACATTTCATTGTTGTTGATGGGTTTATTTCCCTCCCTGGAGACCCACACTTCTCCTCCGATTCCCAACACCCCCTCTCCGGGGATTCTATGCCATGCAGAAACAATAAAAATCATGAGTGGGTTCGTTCATCCAGGGATTTCCATAATTCCCGGTCTATTTCACTATTTGTACTCTAAGGAATTGGGTGATATGTGATGGATAAAACGGGAGAAATTGGGAGTTTGGGGAAATGAGTAGATGGGTATGGGTGTTAAAGTAAGGGAGCGGGTTAACTCATTGCAATGCTGCAGACGACAAGAAGTCTGTGCCTAAGGGTAAATATTTAAATTTCTGACTTTACACCTAGAAAGATAGATTTATTGTTTAAGAAAATGCGAATTAAAAGTTTACACTGAAATTGATAGCAAGGGAGTATAAGTAACATAAAGATAACAAAATATTGCAAAAAACCTAGGGAAGTATATAATCTTGAGAACCCTCTAAAAATATAATACCAACACAATAAAGTTTATTTCGCCTATCAATAAATATTTGTTAAATTTATTCTTGATTTAAAAAAAAATGTTAAGGGATCTTTTATCATATAGATATACATATGTATTTTATTTTTTTAAGATTGTTAGTGGCCTACCAGTATTTTTTGTTGAGTGTAGGACAGCTAGAAACTGTTGCCATTGTCGCGCGGCACTTCCACGTTCGTCCCCCCCACCCCCTTTGGACCCATTCAGCTGCACTTCCCCATTCGTTTTTGGGCAATCGAAAACAAATCTCCCCCCTCCGCCGGATTTTCCCACTTTTCCAATTTTCATGCCATGTGCGTAAGAGTTTTCTCCGCGTGTGTGCCCGTGTGCGAGTGTGTGTGTTTATTTTTCGCCACATTGCGGCCATCGAGTGTAAACAAAAAAGCAACAACGATGCGGCACGAACATGGTCGGGTGGCGAAGGGAGTCGTCTTCGAATGGGGGGGCGTGGCAGGGGGTTCTGAAGAGAGTCGAAGAGAACTCAACAATTTGACGCAATTAAAACGAAATGAGCACAGGGCGAGTGGGATTCCTCGGTTCGTCCAACAGTTGGTATTGCTTATCACAGGGGCGTGGAAAGGGGGGTGGAGAAAGCCCCCAAAGGCCTCCTAACTTTTTTTCAACATTTTTTCGATTGAAAACGAAGTAATTTTTATTTTTAAGGGGTTATTGATAATTTATGAGAGCTTGTCTATAAAGAATATCTCCTAACCATAGGCCAATATCTTCCATTTAAAATGAAGATATGACATAGTACATCCATAGAAATATCATTCAACAAAAAATATATTTGAAATAGTAGCTTCCAATGATCCCCTTTAATAAATTTCTGCCTATGGCACTGATTTTTGAGTGTTTTGTTTTCGAGTGCCAAAGAAGAGTACTTCTTTTGTTTTGGGAGGCGTGAAAATCCTTTGGGGCCTCCATATCATAAAGCTGCCAAATCAAACGGAAGCGACGACGAAGAAGCAGCACGTAAACAAAGCAGCACAGCGGGCAAATGACATTTGTGCCTGTTACCCCTTTTTTCCAA